ATATATAGATTATATATATTACATATATACATATATATATATATATATATATACCTTTTCAGTTTCATTTTCTCTATTCACCGTACCACTCCTCATCTACGAATACTTGTAATTACAAATCCACTGGCACTTATACACATCACCTGCCGTCCCTCCCGTTCTTAGGTCACTCGGGTTTTATTATAGATATAAGCACCATTCTCAGCTTTTTAGAAGACAAATCACTATATCCGGCTCTATAGCATATATCTTAAGCGTCATATATCTTAAGCGTTATATATCTTAGTCGTTGGCTGTATTCCTTTTCTCTATCCACCGTAGCACTTCTCATTTAGGAATACTTGTCATTACCACTTCCACTGGCACCTTTGCGTACTATCTTTGCGCATCACCTACACTTACCACCTGTACACGTCTCTCCCGTTCTTGTTTCACTCGGGCAATTCTGTTTCGTGATCGCTAGTGATATTTACTGTTTTCAGTAAGTATGAAGTACCGAACTTCACTTAATATATCGATGTCGATATATTTCTCCAGCAGCGCCGGAATTGGTGCATTTCATTATTTTTTTAGGTGATTTTCTAGAAATACCGAGGTTTTATATATCCCTGATGAGTTTTGTTCTATGATATATATTTTGAGTCCCAATCCCTGTTGTCTTGCTTACAGCAGGTATATCGCCTATACCACTGAGATGAAAGACTGCATTTTCGAACTCAGATGTACAACTAATCTATTCTCTTATACACTTAGACAGATGCACTCACATATACAACTGACCTACTCCCATATACACTTGCAACAGATAGGCCAATGAAGACCTCCGACCGCAAAGACAGCGAAAGTACACAGCACATACACACACCACCTTACTTTGATACCGAGGAGGACACAACAGACATACATGCACATGTGCACCATATAAATGACAACACCGACACACATGCACATGTGCATCAGAACGAACGTAGCATGAGCCATCATGACACCATAGATATGGGCAGCGACACCGTGCACGCGAAGCTGCTGACAAACGTATCCAGCACACGCTTGAGCTTAGGTGTGAACAGGGATGACATTGAAATGGCAGTACATGGAGAGGCTGAAGTCATGAGTGGAGGTGGGAGGTCAAGTGTAGGTGCACTCCGGGAACAGAGGTTCGAGGAGACTATACTTGGTGCAGATGAGCGCGTACACCGGCCCTACACCGCAATGAGGGGGGACAGGGTGTCGGGAGCACCTATTATTGGAGGGCCAGACCACGAGGTAGACAGGGGCAATGGGATGGAAAGGTATATATATATATATATTTATATATATTTATATATATATATATATATATAATGTGTGCGTGTGCGTGTGTGACGTAAAGAACATTTAATGGTTCATAGTTATCAGTACAAACTTAGACATTCACATGTGCATAGTCATCCGCCACAATGCCGAATGTGCTCCCATTTTCACCAGACACGCCATTCCTTTAACACCATCCCTTACAAAAACAGCGAATGCGGGCGACATATGGAGAGTCAGTGTGAGCTAGTAGGTGACTCTGGTGACAGAAGCTCAGCGCGAAAGAGGAATCAGGAGAGAGTAGACAGTGGGGCTTCAGATACTGACGATGCAGGTACAGAGAGTGTGACGCACAAGAAGGTCGTGCGCAGAAAGCTGCACAGTTGTCGTGGAGCAGAGGCTATTGAATGTCATAGGTATGGAAGGCGAGTTTGTTATGGTGTATGTATGTTGTAGACTACTGAGTGTTGTAGGTATAAATGGCTAGACTGGATTGCAGTGGTTTTCAGACCATCACATGTCATAGGTATGGATGGTGGGATTGGTATGTGGTATGTTGCAGACTATTGAGTGTTGTAGGTATAATACACTTGATTGCAATTGAACAGGTTTTCGACTGAGTGTTGTGGATGATGGATTGGTTTGTCGTATGTGGTAGGCTATTGAGTTTTGTAGGTATAGTACACAATAAAATGTTTTAGACCTGACTGTTATAGGTATGGATGACGGGATTGGTTTGACGTATGTTGTAGGCTATTAAATGCCATAAACATCGATTGAGTTTGCGTGACGGTTTGGTGTTGCGAGTGTCATAAGTATGGATGATTCGAGTGTCTTACAGTATATTGTGGGCTAAGGAGGTTTTGCTGATATCATAATACACAGAGAGAATATTTTAGTGCATAGAGGCTTTCTCAGGGCGTTCCAAGCCATTCGGGACGAGGTTGTGGCAGTGATTCGCGAACAAATGAATCGGCACATTCAAGAGGTCGAACCCAATGAGCAGCACCCAGAATCTGACAATGGGACCGGAAGTGCACCTTATAGTGGACCAGGGGACCGTACAGATAATCGCACCACACCCAACAACACTGAGGCCAAACACACACCACTCAGTATATTTATAACCGGCCATAGCCTGGGGGGTGCCTTAGCCACGCTGTGTGCGTATGAGCTTGGCCTGCGTTTTGACACCTCGCAGTTGGGGCTCACTGTGTACACATTCGGCAGCCCGAGAGTGGGTAATAAGCCGTTTACGCAAAAGTTCAACCGAATGATTTCTCACTGCCACCGCTTGGTGAATGATGGAGATATAGTCACAGGTAGGGTTTTAGGGTTTGGCGTTTCTGCACAGGTAGGTAGCGTATGGGAGATATAGCTACACAGGGTTTTGGCATTTTGGTGTTTTCCGCATAAGTAGGTAGTGTATGGGCTGGTGAATTGTGTTTGCCCACACACGGACATTCTTTTCAAGCGCGTACTCTGGCATATGTATTGGCGGTTGAGTACTGTGTGCTAGTATGCTTTTTATATCTGAATGCGTACCAGTGCGTGTTTACATTGAACTCAATCACGAGCTACTGCGAGCGTCAATGAAGTGTTCAGTGCTTCTGTTCTGTTGCTGATTACACGCACATTGTATGTGTGTTCCCATGGAAAGCTATGCACATTTGTTGTGTGACAAAATGTATTTGAAAAAAGGGCTGTATGGGTGGTGTACACGTAGCGTAGGTTTTATTACGCCCGAGCTGTTACTTGTTACCAGTACGGAAGACTCGGTATAGATGCATACATTACATACAACACGTATATATATA